AGCGAGAGAGAGAGAGGTATATCCATATGGGTTGTCTTTGAAGAGTGATGCAGGAATGTTTATGTGGGCTGTCTAAAATTGACCAAATGTTATCAACAAAACTGGTTGGGGTCAAGTCTAATCACAATTAGTTTGACAGCCAGGCGAATCAATAAAGGATATATATATATATATATATTTCAACCTTGTTTAGTCAGTTTAAGCAGTAAAAAAAGGTCAATCCAAGCGGCCATAACCTGTCAAATATTCATATTCATTGATTTTCAACCAAATCAAGTTTTGCTCGAGACTATACTAGGTAAGGCATCAATGAGAAATCTGACTAGTTGGACCAGCCAAGGTAAGGCATCAATGAGAAATCTGACTAGTTGGATCAGCCAGTCCGGTCCAATCCAACATGGGACAAGAATTACAACTATTGTTAAGTGCTTCACTGCCTCCCAATTTCACTTTTATATTTGCACTCTATATACAGAATGAGGCTTCACTGGTCAAAAGAAAAGAAATCTACTGAGCTAATATACTTCACTATTAGGCATGCCCATGCCCATTTCTCAGGAGTTCCACCTTATCAGTTCTGTGTTCTAGTGGTAAATCCAAGCAGCCTACCCATCCATATTTCCTTTCATGAAATGAATATATAGGAATTGTTGACACAGCTTAAAAGTATTAGAGAAACTAGACATTTGTTACGAGCAATCTCTTTTGGAATGGTTCAACAAAACTTGAAGTTGTCATATGTGAAATCGGACGGCTGGGTTACCCCGAAAAAATTTCTTCAAACATTGAGCGGAGGAGCGACATATCCCATCCGCCCCCTTTCACATATGAAGGATTGGGATGATGTTGACTCATCTCATTGTGTACTTTCTCCTATTTTCATAAGACACTGTTACAGAAACCGACCGTGAAATATTGGTTAATTGGTTTGCACATTGAAAATTCAGGCCTAAACGTTCCTATAAAAGGACCCAACCAAATGACAGGAGTACCCGCTCGTCCACAGTGGGTCTAATTACTGAAAGTGTCCCTGTTCATTGAAGAAATTGAACCCTAAACAAGGGCAATTAGGGTAATTTTAAAATATTCTTGGAGGATGTACCTAAATGAAAAAAAGAAAATGAACCCAACAGCTGATGTCGATTAGGATATTTTCACGCCTTCAATAATTTTGTAAGGGGTTTTCACCCCTTAAATGATATTTTCCCTAAAATAATCCTGTGATGCATACAAATTCCATCTTTCATGCAAGTTAAAAATTTACCAACAGGTCTATTAACAATTTCTTTTCTAAAAACTTTGAGGTGGCAACTGTGATGTTTCCCATATTATACAATACATCCTAGCAAGATCTGCAGTCTTCTTCATCAAGATAATTCCACATATTGGGCACTAAAATTAGTGATTGTGACCATGAGATTGTGGTGGGAATTTTCCTTTATATACTGTCTTAGTTCATCAAAGATAATGTTTAATTACACGTTCATCTTGCATATGCTTTACCAATTAAGGATGTGGAATCAAATCGTATTGTTTTTATGTAACAAAGATTTAATAATATATGGGCCATCTCATGAAGAATCTTGACAAAACGTGAAGATCATATGCTGATACTCAACGAAGATCCACACTTTTCACTATTTGGGAGGGTATAATAAAGGAAGAAAGTTGCAATTTTGGAAATAAGAGATCCCCACCCTGTTTTCAGTGCTTAGAGAGTGCTCGTACAGGACCATACTGTACATTTACTCTCTTGGGTAAAAAACGTACAGGACCATACTGCTCGTTGACGCCTTTTTTTTTTTGACATTTAGTAGCCCAATCTTGTCCTAGTGTGGTCATGTTGGGTCGGATACATGTGCACATAAGCATGAAGGCACATATGCATGCTAAGTTACATCATATCACTTAAACTTTCCCCTTTGAACACCATTGGCCATGTGCAATGGCAAGTATGTACCCCACCCTTGGTGCTAATTGTTGCCACTTAATTTTCATATAGATTAGCATATGGTTTAGGTCCACCCCTCTCATTATTTTATCTTTAAAATTTGGCAGATCCATTGTCACGATCACTGCGATTATGAATCCGAAACAAAAAAAAAAAAGGAATATTGAGTCTTAGATATGGTATATTTTATACTTTTTTCTAGACCATTCAAAGATCATGAGATCTGCGATGTTTTTGGAGCTGCAAATTCACGATTCAGAGGCATTAATAGTTTTACAGCGATTTGGGATGTGTTCTAAGCCCTAAATCCTTCGAAAACCAGGCTGATGCATGAGCCACCTGACTTACTTTTCCTGTAGTTTGTGCCTAAATACTTGAATTGCACGTAGAGAGAGACAGAGACAGAGAGAGAATTAAAATGCCTAATTTACTTGGTGCAGTAATACTTGTAATATGAAAAAGACCTATAAATTCTTAATCTCATTTGTGAAAATAGGAAGAAACACAAAGTATAACTTAAAATCAAAAGCAATCTAAATACAAAAGAAATTATGATGCCTAAAAGGAGACCAAGGGCAAAAATGAGGGCAGTAACACCTTTCTTTTCATTGAACAAACACTTTCCCTAGTAGTCATAATTAGTAATTAGAGGTAGTTCAAATAATTTCCCAAAGTCAACATGCCTTAACCTTATGGAATAGATTAATATTTGGGTTTAGTGGCATGAGCATAGTTAATCATATAATATTCTTACCCTAAGTAAATGTGTGCACCTCCATTGTGCCTTTCCTCACATGGACATTATGTCTCTCACCTTAGGTGAATCTTGGGTCCCCACTTATCCCTAATCCCTTTTCCTACATACTTGATTAGACACACCATCCTTTTATTCTTATGCCTCTCTAATGCGCCTTTTGACATGATGCTTCTCATAATAATGTGCATGGGAGACTTTGAGAGCCTTTGGAATCTTCAAGTGATGGTGTTCACCCATTAAATATCCCTAAAAATCTTGCATTATAGTATACGTGGTTGGCATTTTATATTGGAAAAGGTTCGTGTATGGCCGCGGCTTTTAAAGCTATGGGTCAAAATCTTGCTCGAAATTGTTGTTTTGATGGTAGAAAAGCATCATGTTGATCATCTCGACCTTGAAAAAAAATATGGATCAGGAAAAAATAATAATTTAAAGCCCTAAAAATAATGTATATTTTAATACATTGTATGGATTGCCCATTTTCAAGGGTTTACCTATCCACTAGGAGCTTCGAATTTCATGATAAAAGGCAGAAATCAATTTATATCATCTCAGGGATTTCTAGTGCATGTGCTGCATTTCTAGCAGGGATTTAAGGTGTGGCTTGACTAAGGCCTAGGCCTTATGGTGACAGCACCATTTTATTCAAAATGAAGTAAATAAATATTTTTTTTAATTGTGTTCCTCCTTTTATATGGTTACAAACCGAAATGTCACCAAGTCAATTTTTCACTTTGTTTAATTACTTTTTATTGGGTGGTTCTAGACAAGCAGGTCAATGATGTAGAATGTGATGAAAGAACCCTGTCATTCCCCACTAAAACAAAAGCATAAGACACAATTATTCAATTTTTTGGGGGACAAACAACCATTTCAACAAGACATAAGATTGTAATCAATGCATAAAAGGGTGAAATCTATGTCATTACTTTCCTCATTTAGAAGTAAAGGGAAATAGAAAAGAATTTACATATATAAACAAAGCATAAAGACTTCCCAATTCAGAAGATAAATCTATTTATTATATGTATAGACAACTCATGATTACTGCGACTTAGTTACCATACTAGTATTTGGCCCATGTAAAAAAGGAGGTGGCGCAAACAACACACAATAACTGGTAGCTAGTAGCCTTTTTTTTTTTTTCTGCTCTTTTTTGCCCGGATGAGAAAGGAAGATGGTTGCATTAAGTTGGTAGCCAATGCAAAATATTTGCTACATCTCTATCATAAATTATTATCTAGAATAGTAAAACGGGATTTGTTTAGTAGACTATAAATAGTTGGAATAAAGCTTAGATGATAACGATGAGTTGTCTAAAACTGATGATCTAACGACTTGTAAGCACAACGAAAAAAAAAAAAAAAGAAGCAAAACTGATATGTTCTTCTCATGTCCCAAACAAAGCACTACTAGTTTTACCCTTTGGAAGTGAACCAACCCATAACAGTGGTCATGTTCGGTAAGAAAATCTAAATTTCTTCTCTTGGTTAGTTAGGATTCAAGGCCAATACCACAATACATTGGCTCTTTAGCTTAAACTACTAAGCCAAGAGGCTGATGGAGCATAAGGGGCATCGATCCTATCAAGGGTTTAAAAATTAGCTGTTGCATGAAAATAATGGCCGTTACATAGCGAATG